GCGTTTGCTCAACAAAAATACGAACAAAATCACTTGATCAATGCCGAGGTTAATAGAAAGTCGGTCGTGGCAGTTACTAAGAATTAACTATCATATAAACATGTTTCAAGCCATTTTGTATCGTTATCAATGTACACAATATAATATCATATGGGATATCTTCAAAATGGACCTATGGAGTGCGCTCTGGTCGAGAAAACCATTAAGCTCTCAGCGTTGATCAATCCCTAAGAGATGCGACATGCACTTGACGTTATCAAACTTCGTTGAAGGTGACTGAATGCATATCTGGCTTTTATAATAACCCACGGTAGCTTATCGATGTATCGAATCAGCGCTGCTGTCCTCCGAGATAAGTCTGGTACCCATTTTCCGAACCAGGAGGGATGGAACACTCGGTAAGCCACGGGCGCGGGAATCGACTCCATGTGTGCATTGAAGGGCACCTCGGACCTGTGTGCCACACGCTCCTCATGAGGTGGACTTTGATAACCCTGCTAATCGTTTACTTAATGGCAGCACCATTTGTGTTTCAAGTTTTCGCTGTCGAATTTTTTTAGAAACAGATGTATTGATTTACATTTCCAATGTAGTCAAAGAAAGCAAATGAAAAGCAACCGTCCTTCATAAAGAGGAGATAGATGTAGCGAAACATTGGTCGTCGGTAAGAGTCACTTCTTCCAGCGAAATGAAGTTCTTATGATATCGAGGTGGTAGGTAGAGGTGCTGTCGTTGCTCTTTGATGTTGAGAGACAGTGCGATATGTGGTGGAGATGAAAAAGAGGAGCATTCAGAAAAAGAAACTCACGGACTACTTTTTTATAAAAAAAGTGTATAGTTCCCATCATTGTTTGAGATTCATAGAAAAGACAATAGATCGTTTTTTTGGATGATTAAGTTACACACGAGGTAGTTACAAAAGAGCGACTCTACGCGAGAGCGCCGAAACTCTAGTCCAATGAAGGTCTTATAACAATCTCATCTAGCTTAATTATCTTGGAAAATATTGATTAGTTATGAAAAGCTTCAAAAAAGCCGGTTTTTTAAGATACACTTGACTAGATCATGTGTTACTCAGGGGACGGATAGCACAATGGTAATGATATCCTTCATCACGAGCATGGTGTTAGTTCGATTACGGTCCGGGCCAACCAAGCCTCTCATCCCTCCGGGGTCGGGAAATTGGTACCGAACTTGTCTGCATTCAAGATAAAATGAAAGTCCTCAAGCAGCAGCCGAAGCAACACGTAAAGTTCACGTAAAGTTGGAAGATCTTCGTGGACGATGGATACGAGGGAACGAGTCGAATGTAAGAAGTGCTGGGATCCGCACGATAGACGTGAAGACGGGTGATATAGAAGAAAGAATAGAACGATATCGGCTGTCACCGCAGCTTCTTTTAATGACACAGTTATCTGACCAACGACCAGCGAACGAAGCCGTTGTTGCAGCTCTGGGATTCGCCTCATAGTAGGAAAGTACTCTTATCAATTAAAAGCGAACCAAATGCAGTATCCACCCGGATGCTGGGGTTATGATGAGGCTCCCTCAATTCTCTACCATTTAAAAATCATTGGAAGATGCAGGATCGTCACAAAGGATGTGAAGGTGCCATCTATAAAGGAAATATAAAAAAAACGCAGGTCCAGAATGGTATAGACTCAAACGACGAACTAGAAAAAAAATTCTTGTTGCTGTTTCACAGCAACAACGGTTTATTGCGCAATGGATAGTGGTAATGTTGATTGGCCAACTCCGATGTACAGTAGGAGGGAATCTATCTTCCAATGGAACTACACAAACGGAAGGCTCCGAAAAACACACAAAAGTCCGGAGAACAGCGAACCTATTCCAGCGCAAGGATCGATAAGCCAGATGTGACTGAATTCGTACAAAAGTGAATGAAAACATAGAACGTCGTACTAGAATTGTGCGCCAATCCTTTTCGTTCAGTCTAGCGGAACCCACCGAGAATTCTAGGTGAGCGCTAAAGAATGGAAACTTCGTTTCTGTCCAAACACTGGTCAATGATAGATGGAAACGTGGATGATACATGTGATACTTGATTTCTACCTTCGCTCAGAATCATATGATTTCACAAAGCTTTGTAGCACTCGCAGCGCCGCAGTGAGAAGCCCATGTCGTTGATTAGATTCGAAGTTCTACGATAATCGAGTGGCCATCCTTCTGGAGTCAGTAAATTGGTACCTGTAGTACAAAAATTAAAACACAACTAACAGCCCGAACATTTACTTACACGAATCAAAACAGAAACATTATGTTTTCACTTGCATACGGAAATAATTTAGTCGCATTAACGCACTTATTTATCTTAACAAGTGGACAATACATGCAGTATGTGTAGAACACTGCGAATAGACAATTCAAAAGTGTGAACTTATAATTCCGTCAAAATCAGAGTAGAGCAAAAAAAACAATATCACAAACTTTTTCAGTATTGCAATATATTCAACAACGTTTAGACGAAAACATAAAGTTCTAGTAACTAATTTCTTTTCCCTTTGAAGCCACGTGGTGTCCCGGTGGAACTGGCTCCTCTTCCACGCCCTCGTACTGAAAATTAACTCATTCAAAACAATTCGTTTTCTCTCTCGGCAATCGCGAGGTTATTAAACAGCATACGTTTACTTCTATACAATAACACACATCCAACACAACCGTAGCTGACGTTTCGGAAGAATCGTCTTCTTCAGAGCCGCTTTCTTCACCCATCTTCCATCGAGGAAGAACAGATGCTCAGAGTCGCATATGGTTGCCGACTCATTCAAAAGACTAATGGATTTTCAAACGTTATCAATGTCTAATGACGAATTATCTTATTTTAGCAACCACTGAAACGAACAAACTCCAATGGCCTACAACATGACTGTGGCTGAAAAATTCTCCTGAATGTCAAACTACGATCTACGGCGGAGGTGGTACTCAGCATAGCTGAGAGGTTTTGGAAGCGCCCAAGCTCAGATGTTAAACTTTTCATTCAAAAACAATGCTAAGAGTAAACTTTTACCGTGACAAATCGAGGTCAAGTACCCATAATTAGCTTTTCCACAAAAGCAACTAGGATAACAGCATCTTAAAAGTGCAATTCGTGTTCTTCGAAAGATTTACAGAAGAGCTCTATTCATAGATGAAGACGAACGCAGCCTACATCTGCTACCTTATTTGCTATTATTTGGTAATTAGCACGGTCACAGATGATGAGGTGATATATAAGAGATAAAACGATAAAGCTCTAGGCGTTGATCTATCCCTGAGGGATGCGCCATGCATTCCACTTCATTGAGCATCGTTGGAGATGATTAAATGCTTACCTGGCCTTTACAGTGACTCGCGGTGACCTACCTATGTATCGAGCCAGTGCTGCTATCTCCCAGACAGCTTTGTTACCAATATGTCGACCCCGGAGGGATGGAGAGCTCGGTGGGGCTGGGCGCGGGGACCAATCCCATGTGTCTGTGGCAGGGCACCTCCGACCACTGCGCTACACGAGCTCTTTGGGGTAAGATATATATATATATATACATGAATGTATACGCATACACATGCATGTGTACTTATATTATATACTTGATACTTGAACGGCACGTTCTCACTAGTTGTGCGGGCCCCAGCATAATCACCACTTTTTTGAGATTTGTTGGTTAAGACATTGTGGTTCCCTGGAATCCCGAGGACAGCCTGACCTAAGTCTGCCCCAGGTCGTCGCCGCGACAGGCAGTCGCTGCCCTTGTGGACCAGAAGGGTACATATATAAATAAATAAATATATATATATATATATATATATATATACAATGTCATTGATGTGTTAACAATGTTTGTCGTCAAATTCAACAAAATACTTCTTAAACAGAAAAGTCACTTAGATTCTATTATGGATGAAAATTAAGGCGTCACAAGTAACGTTAAACTTCCACTCAATGTGATAGCTGTTGAATTATTCTTGACATCTTTCATACTAGTATACCTTAACTATGAGCGTTTGATTTTAGACATTACCACCGAACTACCGAATCAGACGTTCATAGTACGAAGCAAATCTGGACTGCTTTTAAGTTAAAAAAAGGGAACGATGTATGACGTCCACTATTTGTCTCTATATTATTGTTTCACTTTCAAATCTACATAAAGCGATAAACGTAGACCAATTTTGCAGGAGCTTTTTCCACTTGTAACGATCAAAACATCGAAAAATGAGTAATTTATTACGAGCTCACTGGTTGAATTAACCAGCATGGACGATGCCGGTGTCGCATGGAATGTCATGCCACAATTCTTCACTTAATTACCGATACATGCGAATAATAAAATGAAAAACTAAACGGAAGTAGGGAAAAAATTCGTTCTTTCTACTCTAGGCTTACCTGCAGCTGAAGGTTTTGCTTTAGTATTAGATTTCTTCCCTGGTTTATAATCCTCATCGTCACTGTCGTCTTCATACCCGCTCTCATTTCCCTCCATTTTCTCTATTAAATTTCCATCTTCATCTACTTCAACTTCTAAAACATAAAAAAGAATCAGCATCTATTCAGAAAACAAAAACAAAGTGTAGCCCCAGATGGAAAACAACAACAGTAATAACAAGCGCAGTAACGACATTTGAGGCAAACAAGGCAAACAAATAATAATAGTGGTAACAATAACAGTTTGGTAAACGATAACGACAATTTCAAATACCGCCTTCCTATTAGTCTCGGCATTGATAAATAATTTGCTATTTAACTAATAATACAACAAGACGCTGCTATTACTATTTTTTAACAATAGCTAACGTTTCAGCAGATTTCGTCTTCCTTGGAGCCCAGGAAGGTGATGTTAACTTCAACCTGGTCAACCAAACACGTTCACAACCTCAACAGAACCTCCTTACCTTTAACACATCGTCTGAAAAGGAACTCAAAAGTCAATACCGAATACTGAACAGTGAGGGTCAGTGGCAAAGGCGACAGATTTAAAACCTTCAGTTATCGCTCAACTTAAACTTGAAGTATCAACATGTTTCATGTCGTACTTACTTATTAAAACATATAAATTAGTATGGACTGCTAATCATGCTCCTAGTGACCCATCATTTTTCAAGGTTAGACCTATCATCAGCAGTGTAGGCCGGCCAATGGATGGAATAACATTGTTTTTAGCTCTAACACTCAACCGATTGTTCAAACACATCCAGGTAATCTCGTTAATACCCATATACTCTTTGATCGCCGACATAATGTGCATCCTAAAAGAGCGTGTGATGGATGCCATCGACGTAATCACCCTTTCTACAAGCATGTCGAATGAATCCGCTATGCAAGCAATTCTCGAACTACTTACGCAACATGAAGTAACAATAAACACACGTGGATTTTCGATTCAAGAGCTTATCGTCCCTTCAAAGAAGTGCCTGAATTCTCAATCCTTAGATGGCCCGGGAAGCATTTCTCATAAATGAGGGGCATGGCGATAGGACAGCGACTGGCACGAAGCGCTGTCTGAGTTTATGTCTAAAATAGAAGCTCCAGTAATCGAACTTTGGACCTCAGTCTAGTGTATGTGTACCAGCGACTGTTTTCTCATCTGCTCATCACAAAAAGAGATGGACAAATGTTTTTTGTTATTGGACGAATAGTAGCAGTACATAGAAATCAGCCGAAGCAAACTTGGGTTCCATTTCTAAACGGTCAAAACGGCCTGTCCGAAAACGGCTACATCACCAAGTGCTACTAAAAGCAGATAACAAAAACATGCTAGTTCATTACCTATCCTCTCACTTTTCAAAAATAAAAAAGACGCATGTAAAACGTCTCGAAGAGGAAGAGAGTGAAAGGAAGAACCCTTGAAACAAAACGATAAGCCTAGTGAAAATAGGGACCCGTTCACCCTGCCCTTATTTATTACGACAAAAGTATAGCTATAAAGCGCTGCTCAAAAACAGTTGATTTAGAGAGTGCGGTAACAGTGATCCAAATACCACCGAACAGTTTAAGACGTCAGCTAGTTTGCAACTCTTTGTAACATCTATGCAAAATGTACAATTGCACAATTTGCTCTAACGGCAGAGATAGTGATTGTTTGCGTTCGAGTACAGTGTACCTAATCTCTTACAAAGCGTGTGTGGATGAATACATTGGCGAAACGGATTGAATATTCTGCTTCCATATAAAAGAACACCTAGTCGTTGAACTTAAACCAAGTACTCCATTAGGCGTGCAGGAGATACAGAGGCATAAGAGGGAAGGTTTTGAAGTACAAGCAAAAATTCCCGCACAGCAATCTAAAACCTCAATGTTCAAAATCCTCTAAAGATTCTGAATTCCACGAAACTAAAATTGAACAACAGAGAAGAATGCCACAAACACCATGAGAGATTTCACAGAATATCCTAGACTGATATTTTAACGTAAGAGAGGAGCATTGGCCATCCATGTGACATCTGAGTGGATGTCTCCAAGCGGAAGACTTGGTGGAAGACTCACGGTGAGTGTGCGAAGAAGTTGCTTCATATCTAATGCAGTTGAAAAATATCGCAGTGGATCGTCGTTTTTCTGTTGTGCTTATGGAGGAGTTTAGCTGACTAGGTGGGTGTTAAAATCCTTCCAGGCTTTGATGAACGCGAAGTAGGTTGAAAGTCAGCCTTTGTCAATGAGAGAGTATAGTAACAACTATTTGTTTGATAATCAAGAAAATAGTGAAAAGCAACAATATCGACAACAACAGTTTAATTTATTCCTCTCTCAAACCTATGGAATAACCTTAATTTTCTATCAGTTGATTAGCATAAACAGAGTTACTTTGTATATGCGTTGAAACTAAGCAATATGGCGTTTTTTAATAAACAGCATGGTATGAAACTCTAATATGCTATGATGTTAGTAATAGTGAAACAAAAGTATCTTCTACGGATCTTCTCACTGTGATCCACAACTGGTTAACCGTGAGTTGGTTATATACGGGCCAAAAATTATCTTGCGCTTTCCAAGAACGAAGACGAGTTCAAATGACGGGCTTCTTGTTTCCAATGGGCCTGTTGGATACGCCTTTTCTCTGTTTAAGTAGAAATGTTCATACAAGCATGTGTGTGTGTTCGCGTATATGCAACTTGTACTCTAAGTCAATTCGGCTTAAAGCCTGCAATTAAGTGATTAAGGAACACGTGCGAGTTGGTTACTAGTTATGTCTAACAAATAAGCTCCATGTCTCCTTTGGGAGTGACTGACAAGCTACTTATGGCTATCAATAGCCAAACACAATGGAATAAATGGGCCTCATTCCTCTGACTCCAAAAGAGTCTCTGATACGGCAGCGTTGGATCGGATGAGTACGGAAAGGCTGCTGCTGCTCAGAGCTGTTTTAAGTTTCCTAAACTTGGAATGAAACCTACACTTGTAATGGTATTCGAATGGTAGGAAAGAGAACACCGTGCTCTTAACAATGTCCATGATACCGTAGCAGAACAATTCCTCGGAACAAGCGACAACAAAGGAGTCAACAGCGTTGGTGCACTTGCAAACCAAATAAGACACGGGTGAGGAGTTGTGAACCAGGCTTCGAAAATTTTCGTCTTCTGCGTACCTACATAAAGCTGAGATAAAGATGAGATGGGAGCGTTCTGTATGAACTTGGAGAACTATTGTAGGGAAGGACATATCTTATTGGGATTTCAATGGTAAATTAACATCCAGGAAAGCGCCTGATTTTCACATCGACAGCCAAAGAACTGCAGTAGAGTAAACAGATTAAGCGGCTGCAGCACTTCGTAATGAAGACTAAGACCATCGATGTTAATTCACAAATGCAGAAGTGTCATTCTTAAAAGTGAACGTGGGAGTCTCCCAAAAATAAGCACCATAATGAGACTGATCCCATCACACTAGATCGACGCTTTTTCATAGTCGATACCATCGGTGTCGCTGATGTCCCAAAATTCTACAAAGGAAAGGACCGTCGCCATAGTCGCCCAAGATTGCTTTTCCCGCAGAAGTAAAAATTGCGAGATATACGAAGAAGTATTCCAAAATTTACGTGAACTGGGAATAATCCAGATCATTAGTTAGTTTTTTTTTTGAAATGTGCGATTACCGACAGCATCAATGAATAATTGTGTCGGTACATTCAATATTTCTACTGGTAGTGCTCAGAAATCTGACCTAAGGCTACGAAGAAAGCAAACTAATGGATGAAGCTACAGAAATTGAGAACTACAGAAGTGGAGAATGCCCACGGCGAAATTGCTCTCAGATGAATTAGAACAAGGTAGTTTTATGAGAAACAGATTTGCTCCTCATGCGTTTGTGCTTTGCATTTGATAGGAACAAATATAGTCCTCACTGGTGCCCGCTCGACGTCTAACGAGATGACAGGTGACATAGATGAATATCTTACCATAACTATCCTGCGCTCTTCTTCGTCCCTTTGCCACGTCACCAGTAGCGTACGGCAATATACGATGTTCTTTATTCAGCGCACGTGTCAAAGCAGCTTTGACCTATAACTAAAACTCTATCAAATACGGAATAAAGCATGGATGCAATTTATGGTTGCACCTTTGGGAGTACTTTGCTTGACGGATCGACTTTTCCGGGCCACACTGCTAATTCTGATACTGCTTCACTATCTTCTCGCACCAAGTAATAATCGTTCATCATACAAACGACTTCGCTGAAGTAATACCTTACCATATCTATCTCAACTGAGTCAAGCGGACATTGCCTTTCTTCTGGGCACCACTCATAATATCGCAACCGGATTCAATTAAATACATTGAGAGATTGAATAACTCCACTTACAAAACTCCATCGCCCTCGCGTTCTAACAGAGGTTTGGTTAGGCAATCATGCAAAACAGGCACGTAGTCAACAACTAAAGAATGCATATTGGCTGATAATCTGAAAAACTTTAGTTTACGAGATATCTCCGAAATATCGCTAAAAAACAATTTGATTGTGGTTTTGGTCTAGATCAAAGACTCACTTTAAGTGAGCGTGTGTGGAGAGTTGCCTCATAAGGCGCTGTCGCTTATTTGCTGTTGAATTTTTTCCAAGCCATGCTGGAAATTGGATCATCGCACGAAGGTGACCATCCACTGCTATAGATGGAAGCGCACAGGCTAACATTGCCTAAAACTTAGTTAACATGGACAAATCAGATTTGATTGGTTCCAAGAATATTTTAAGAAAGGAGTATATAGCTCCAAAACCAAACAATATTTTTAAACATCGTACCTGCTCATTCAACAACTTCCATGTTCCAGAAGAACGAATACATTTTTCTATGGTATCGCCGTGAGATATAAAGTCTGCAGCCCTTCTTAATCCAGCAATGGCTTGTTTTGGACTTAAATTATAGGGCTAACCTTTAAAACTTCAAGATGCAAAAAAGACGACATGTTTGATCTATAGAAAGTATAGTATGCAACATAATGTGAAGTTGTTGTTTGCACAATCTTTTAAAATATTCAATAATCTACGAGAAACTCATTGCTAAAACCTGGTGCTACACATAAAAATCGCAAAACCATAACCGCAAGACTCTGCCTTGCTAGCATGAATATGAATGGGAAAGAATGACAAAAGGAATGAAAAGGCATACGTGTGCTTATCATTGCGCATGTTTGGGTAATTCTCCTGTACAAACAGTGGCATGATACCGTAGTCCACAAAAAACATGTCTTGCTTCTCCTGCAGTGTAGAACGTGAGTCTAACAATTTCCGTGCAGCTTCGAAGGATCCCTAAGAGATTACTATTAGCGTGCGGAAAGAAGAAAGAAAGTAACAGCTTGTTCACGGACAGGTAATGCATCTATATTTTCCACAATCAATCGCTTACAATAGCTATATCCTTCTTTTGCACCTTGCTTTTTCCACCGGCAGAAGCATATAATTGCAAATTGTAGATGGACTGCCTGATGTCATGCCCTAAACTTTCCTACTAAAATGATGAAAAAAAAAACGAAAAGAGACATTACTTCTTAATTGAAATACCTGACAACTCAATCATCTGATCCATTTCCTCCTTTGAGATCTTCAGCTTTTCCTGGCAAGCTATGGACATCATCCTCGCCTTAATAAAATTCGGCAATTTATCGATCATGAGTTTATCTAAAAAGTGATAGTAAATTTTAAAAAACCCACTCTAATTTGCTCAACACGAGGCTTCTGGAAACGTATATCGAAACAGTGATTAGCAAGACTTCTGATCTTCGGATGTTGGCGGTCATTACATATACAAATTATTGGGATTTTCGTTTCTTTAATTATTTGTATCAACTCAGCAATCTGAAAACAACTCATCACTAGTGTTACGAAAATATCAAAGAATTAGATCTAAGCGTATATTTGTACTTTAGTAAACGGACTTTCAAATAACCTCAGCGTGAATAATCAATATATTTCCTTACATTGTTCAGCTAACACGAGGCTGTTATATACGTTTTGTTCGACCGAAGTTTGGACGTCTTAGTCTTCTTCAGATCCGACAGGACCGACCCAATGCTCCACAGTCAGATATACGATGAATGAATGAAGCTCTCGGAGTTGATCAATCCCTGAGGGATGTGCCATGCATTCGACTTTACCGAGCATCATTTGGAGTTGAGTGGATGCATATCCGGCCTTTACTACGACTCGCGGTGGCCTACGGATGTGTCGTGCCAGTGCTCCTATCCTCCCAGACTAATCTGGTACCAATTTACCGACCCCGGAAGGATGGAAGGCTTGGTGAACCACGGGCACGGAGATCGATGCCGTGTGATTAGCACATGTGATCCGATGTGATCCGAGCACTGCGCCACACACGCCCCTCTTTGTCGGATACATACTTGTATAGAAACCTCGGCTAAGCTGAACAATCTAAACGCATTTGGTCGTATTAAATAACCAAAAACCATACACCCGCACGGTCCTCGGTCCCGCTCATTCCATCAACTTCATCCATGATCAACACATGTTTCACTTCACAATCTAAAATCAATCTTCGTGAGTAGAAGTAGACAAGTTACTAAGGAGAACTAGTCAACACTTTTTGTCCTTAACTGCTCAGTACCATTATCATGATGATGGACTGCAGTAAAATACTCCTCTATTTGATGAGATTCGGTGAGCTGAGTGATCTAAAAGATTAAAAAGGCTTGTTTTGCTTATTACACAAAATGAATTATCTACAAAAGTTTGCCAATGAATTGTGAATGGATGTTTCATGGCGTTAAAATTTAATAAAAAGTATGTGGTTCATGGCCCCAACAGGATCACGCAATTTGGTGTAGCCGAAACTTCCTTGTAATTTCCTGTAACTTACCTTGTAGAAGTTTAGTTATGAGTGAACTGACCAAAAACTCTATACCGGAAAATGTCCTATTGGCGAGACAAGAAACCTCCTCATAAAAAACGCTGAACGACCACGTAGTGATAACCTTTCGGCATAACCACCTTGAGAATTCAGAAAAAAACAAATCGCCTAACCAAGAGTACAGGAATTTCGATGCTCTGGATAACAGACTGCGATGTAATATGATTTGGGAGGAGAGGGAAACACTAACTGCTATATGCGGAAAAGAAGAATGTCACTGAAACTGCATTAAAACAAGACGTCAACGAGACAAATCAGGAGTAGCCATGAGAGTGGCTTATTGCCCAGCATCTAAACACCAATAGTCTCTTGCGATGCTGACATTTTTACTCCTCAAAAAAACTGAAGAACAGATCCACTTCTAAATTAACGTCCTACAGAGTACCATGAAGAAAAAGTATATCATACCCAAATTAAATGACGGTTTTCACTACAGGTATTATTTTAACTGCTTCTTCAAAGATCTCCTGCAACAGGTTTTCAGTACACGCCAGTATGTCTTACGGCAAGTAATTTCATGAGTTGCTTCTTCTCTGATAGCGGTGGTGACGAGACTCCTTGATTTCGACTTGACCTATATTTGTTATAACAAAGGTTGATAGTACCATATTGCTGTAGGCCTTTAGCGAGCATATAAAAAACGATTCCATTCCAGGATCCAACATATGACGGCAGGTGCTCTTAGGTATAAATAATACTGCTTCTATTTCCCACTTCTACTTCATTCTTAGAGTTTCCAGGCCTTGTGTTCACTTAAAATATTTCCTGTATATTTGTATAAGGGCTTTCCATTAGAAATCGCTTCCTTCAATTCGGCACAGGACACATCTAATTCGCTTTCATCTGTCGACTAGATTGACAAGTAACAGCTAGTTACACAGGTTATCTTTTGAAGAGAAAGATGAAGGCAATGATGAACAAGAGAAGTGAATAAATCTCCTATGAATCGAAGTTATGAGCAAGAAAATGTAAGCGACAGACTACGGAGCTGGTATTTCGCAACGGGACTGGTCTTTCCAGGTACATTTAGGTCCACAACTTAATTATGTGTTGCTCTTCTTGCTCATAGCTTCCTAAAGACCGATAGTAATAAACTTGTGGTGATTTACGACTTCTTCGCAAGTGTAAAGCTTGAAGGCAGAAGACTTCCAATTCCTCGGCTGTGCTTGCCCGTTTTCATCTCAAAACCAAAAACGGACGCAGAAAGAGGTAAACAATGGATCGGTCAAACATGATGAATTAAGCGAAATGTGGTATAAAATCACGAAACAAAATATGCAAAGTCTCATACTTGTTGTTCCAGTGACTTTTTGCTTCGCACATCGGAAGCATTCATTTCAACAACTTTCAATCCAAAACTTTCACAAGCCATAATAGCGCATGTTGTCTTACCAATTCCTGAAAAGTTTAGATGTCACAAAAATCACAAAAAAAAAGAAACTTGAAATCACAGCTTCTAAAAGTTCGTCACGTGGCATTTATCTAACCTGGCGAGCCCGAGAGTAGCACGGCTTTGAAAGGAGATCCATCAGTCTGAGCGAGAAAAGGAGGAGGCTTCGCTAAATTCTTGATATCTATTTGTTTACAAACACCAAATGCTCCAGATAGAATTTCTAATAAACCCTGGTATAATCTTAATCATAAGAACTTCGAGGATAAACCCAACTATCCGTTAAGTACTACTTATAGAAAAAAATTCCCTTCGTCCAATTAAGTAGACGAGAACCTTTACCAGAAAGCTTCAAACGTATTATGAAATTCCTTACGTTTTTTTATTCTGCCTCCTTCCCCAAGGTTGTTAGCAGCCCAGAGCTTGAGCCATCCAAGAAGCTTGTTTATCGGACTCTTTTCACCATGTTGTCCAACAAGTTGACCGATATTCTGAGGTTTGTACTGATCGACCCATAAAACGTTCTCTCCTTCCTGAATTGCTATATTTAGAAGAGTATAGTAATCATAAGCCTGGAACAAAGCGTTTCGGGGTGCATAAAGGTGCTTAGGAGTCATCGGCAACATTAAGTAACACATTTACTTTGGAAGAAACCAACAAGCTCGAGTATATCCAGCCTTATGAAAGAGCTCGGCACATTATGCGTCAACATTTTCCAAGAAAAATAGCAAAAATGAACTATCTCATCCTCCTTATCTCGAAGGAGCTCTTGATACAGCAGAGGACAGGATTATCAAGCATAGTCTACCAAAATCTCAGCGAATTTCTAAATTGCATAAAACTGGACGGAATATATGTATGTTATGTATTCGCATCGACATTTATGGAACCTGTGAAAGACTGTCCCTCGGTAGATGGTATGGTAAACGAAAGGATGGCTTTAGTATGGAGTAAGGTCAAGTTTAAAAAACTTCGCCGCCTGCACCTTAATAAAAAGTAAGAGTTAAAAAAGCTAATATCGTGCCGATGACCAGGTCAAACTATTATACAAGGTTATAGAAAAGTTCCACATTGTAAAACTTCTACAAAACAGTCATTAGCGACTCCAATGAAAAATATTCTTACGGAAAAAAACACTTGGTGGCAAATAGAATGGGAAAACTATTACGACGACCACTAGCGTTCATAATACCCCACAAGTTCACATGAACTCCACTCAACACAATACGTGGAAACTTTATGACATAAACACCATTATGACACAGGTATATTAAACTATTAAAATGTTTCCGCGAACACATATCTTCTCAGGTGGTAGAAAAAACTGCAAAACTAATAAAAAAAAGAAAAAAAACTTCAAAATAATCGCAAGCTGAGATCTGTTCAGATTTTCCGTCAGTGTTTGTGAAAACTCTGTTATCAACAACATAGCCAAAGGATGCGACCAACCCAACACCTCCAGAACAATGTCTAGATTTTATACCTTTTTATATTCTGCCTACTATAATTTCGCGGCAGGGTACTAAGCGAAATACAACCACAACGTCGCTGAGATATTTGCAAAACTCTGGACCGCAGGTGTTTACGGTGGGGAACGAACGCGCTATTGTCCTTTCCAGGGAGTAACGCGTTCACCACCACACCATGCCGATTTGGGCGCCCCAGATCAATCCCGCTGACGGGTGATTGCTGCGGCAAAAGATCGATAGAAATAGCTGAGAGACAAGCGAAACGAAGAACCCGCATGATGTGGTGGTGAACGCGTTACTCCCCGGAAAGGACAATAGCGCGTTCGTTCCCCACCATAGACACCTGCGGTCCAGAGTTTTTCAAATATCTCAGCAACGTTAATGTCTAGATTGTTCAGAGTTTGGAATTCACCAACAGAAAAATAGTGCTCCAGAATTCCTTGGCAGTTTCTGGATTACCACCGAGCATTCTACGATATCAAACAGTGCGAAACAGCCTATACGAGCGTATGTACAAAAAAAAAGGATAAAGCTCTCGGCGTTGATCAATCCATGAGGGATGCGCCATGCATTCGACTTCATTAAGCATCGCTTGGAGGTGATTGAACGCATAACTGGCCTTTACAATGACTCGGTGGCCTACCGATGCATCAAGGCAGTGCTGTTATCCTCCTAGACAAATCTGGTACCACTTTGCCGAGTCCAGAGGGAAGAAAGATTTGATGACCCACAGGCGCGGGGATCGATCCCATGCGTGTATTGCAGGACGCCTCCGACCACTGCGCTACACGCACCCCATCCGAGCATATACACAGGGGGAAATTGCATGATTTAACACTAGAGACGAAGATTCCAAGAGTTCAGGTATTAGGCCTTTACATATGAAATGCCCGACTTTACTGTTTCGATTTCGTGCAATTTTTTTAAATAAAAGTGTAGTTCTCTATGTACGTTTAATACATATTTTTTTTGAAGCACAGTCTACTTTTTTATATCCAATATTGGTTTTTCTCAATATTTATTATCTTAACATTTTCATAGGCTTCAAATCTAGCTCGAAGATAAGGAAGACTGCGGACGTCCGAATGGACTTGACGATGACGAATTGAAGGCAATAGTGGAAGCAAACACCGGAACAACTACTCGAGAACTTGCAGAACAGCTTGGCTTAAGCACAGGAACAGTTTGCACTCACGTGAATCGACTACGAAAGACAAGTAAACTCGACAAGTGGATTCCATACGAATTAAACAATAATTTAAAATGGCCGTTTTCAAGCGTCGTCTGCTCTTATTCTGCGCAACAAACGCGACGCTTTTCTTGATCGAATTGTGACGTGCGACGAGGACTGGATTCTTTACGACAATCGGCGACGTTCAGCTTGATGTTTGAATTGCGATCAGCCTCTACAGAATTGCAATCAAAAAAGGTTATGGTGACTGTTTGGTGTTCTGCAGCCGGGCTGATTCAACACAGCTTCTTGAAACCGGGAGAAACGATTACGGCAGAAAAGTATTGCCAAGAGATCGACGAAATGCTTCGTAAACTCCAATAACAACGACCAGCATTAGTTAACAGAAAAGGACCAATTCTTCACCAGAACGCCCGGCTTTACGTTGCGGAACCAGCGCTGAAAAAGTTGAACGAGTTGGGCTACGAAACTTTGCCCCATCTGCAGTAATCTTCAGACCTATCCCTAGTGACTATCACTTCTTCAAGCACCTTGACAACTTCCTAGGCGAGAAATGCGTCATCAATCATAGTGACGCAGAAAATGCTTTCAACGAACTCATCGGTTCCAGAATTCCAGAATTCTTCGCAACTGGAATAAATAAAGCTGTTTCTTGTTGGGAAAAATGTACTGGTTTTAATGGTGCTTATTTCGAGTAACAAAAAATAGTACGAAAAGGTTGTGCTTATCGAAGTTTGCAATTAGAACCGGATATTTCATATGTTAAAACCTAATACAAGGCCTTTTGTTAGACGAAAGAACACCTAAGTAGAAAGCTCGAAACCTGACAAGGTACTCTTCCATGCACAGAGGACCTAAAAATATAACTATTATGATTATGACGGGCCAAGCATGAGTCTTTAGGCATTTTGGTTAAACGTCAAGGTCAGAAAATGAATAGAAAGGATGAATGTCTCACTATCACATGTAAATCAACGCGCTGAGATAATTTTCTGATCTAAGCAAGCCTGAACCTGTAAATCTTTCGGAAAAACGGTTGGAGATCATAAGAAAGAAAGAGTGGCAGAAGTGGTTTAAGCAGTAGAGGTTGGTAACAGAATATACAACACTAACGGAAAACTCGCTAATTAAATAAACCAGACCATCCATCTTTAATGTCTACACAAAATAGTCAATGCTTCCAGAACAGCAATCACTCACAGAATCGACGTCTTGTTGGAATAAAAAGAGCAAGCACGTCAACAAACAAAGTCGTACAGGGCATATGATCTCTGACGTCTACAACTTCTTTAACCTGATCATTCTCAACAGGACTGATGCAAGACTACGCCAAAAACAACAATGCGATAAAGCAAGCTTTCGAAAATATAGACCAGCTCGTCTCACTTTCACAACTTAGGAAGACCTTCGCCTCAGGTGAGACTTAAACGGCCACTGAAGCCATGACACAGTTCGCCAGCCCCTTGGCCATTGGATATTTATAATATAGGTACGAAACAACTTCACAATTACAATTTTGTCATCCTGTAAAGACATTTTCATCGGCCTAGACAAGGGAAAGCGACAATGTAAAATCATCTCCAAAATTCTTCACTCCCATTCTTAAAAATGCCATATGAAAACTGGAAGCATGGAAACGGAAATCGATGGCCCGCAGCTACACCAACTTTGCTTTTGCTGACGATACTATTCCTAATATATTAAAACAGAGTAACGAATCTTGCCCAATTTCGACAGCGTCTGTTGAAAATTGGTATTCAGAGCTGAATGTCCACAAAAGTTCACGAAAAATGGATTTCTCTAAGAAGTTTCTGCTTCCTTTGTTTTTCGTCTATTCTCACTTAACAGGATAAATATCTCTAAGCACTCCGAGAATATGTAGTTTTCAATTCATACGCTATAGGGAAGTTGATATAATGAACGACTTAGCTCTAAGCCAGAGCATGAAGGAGTGCCTTTGTGACCTTTAAACAAAACCGAAGATATGATAAGCAATGTAATGAAAAACATTAGCACTCGTGCCCATTTTTCTAGCAAACGATACTTCCTCCCTTAACGTAAACCTCGGAAACCAGAAGGGTACACAAATAGAATAAAAAAGTTGTCAGTATTATTGAACGCGGATTCGACGCGACCACGGTAGGAGCACCGCGCAAAGCAATAAAGAGTTAGTCCAAGGCACCGAACTGCACCGTAGATTAGAAATCAGAGACACATTCATACACGTCAAGTCGAAGAAAGGTTCGGAAGGACAGTTGATGAAAAATGTACAACAGTCTTGCTCAGGCCTACTGGAACACAGGTCAGAACATCAGTCTTAAGAGGACTTTGGAAAAAAATAGGATACTGCTCCAGTCTCACAACACAGTTGAACCTATTGGGAAACTACAACGCATGACAATGAGAAAGACAAACCCGTTAGTCGACGGGCAACAATTGCGCAAGTGTTATCAGCGATAGCGACTACAAAAAAATTATTTTTAAAAAGCAAGGTGTACTGACGAGCATTCTCTCTTAAGTCTCTCTCAGTTACACAGAAAAACCTGAGTTCCAAGCAATTTGACTTCACCTTGATCAATTTTGGCCGTTTGGACGGTGGCGAGACTTTCGATTCTGAACCACTGGGTGGCAATACCTTACCTAAATAACATAATAAATGAGAAATGGCTAGTGGGAAGGGCAGACAATAGATATTATAGGGCAATTTTGCTAAACTAGAAGGAAAATGTAGCCAAAATGAGCTGTAAACGAACAAACACATTTGGTACCTATTGCCTTTATTGATTTAATGGCTCGCTTCTCCTCATTCATCCTTGAGTGTTTTTTCACATCGTTGTGGTAAGCGAGTCTATCCTTCTTATTGACCTTTTGGGAAATATTTCGGTGTTTATCTGTTTGATTGAAAGAGTCCTCCTAAATGAAGTAATACTAATACTGCGATATGCTGCTTGTATATTATATACAGATATAGTTCACAAGCTTTCCAACGGTTTACCGCCTCATCGTGGCTGGGAGCTGTTCTTGAGTGTCGGGATGCGATGTACGTTGGAGAGATTCATCCCTCCGGCAGGGCCACCCAAAATGAGCAGGAGTTCGGCGTTTCCACCAGGAAGCTCAGCAAAGGTAAACCTATACCAGGATCCGCCACCGCCCTGGTACCAAACTAGTCGCATGGTAACAAATCTCTCTTCGATCCACAAGGACGGCGACTGCCTGTGGTGGTGACGATCTAGGGCAGACTTTGGCCAGGCTGACCTCAGGACTCCAGGGAAAGACATCGGCTAAACCAGAAAAACTCTGAAAAATGGAGATTACGATGGGCACGAGCAGCCAGTGAGGACGGGCCGTCCAAGTAAGTATAGTTCACAATATTCAAATCTGACACAGAAACGAAATTATGGAATATAAGCACATGCAAGTTTTCCACATCTTTTTCCGTCACCTTCGTTGTAGCCATATTTTCCTTCTGTGTAGGGCTCACGCTCAAGGTTTTTGATGGCTGTAAAGCGGAAAATCTCGTGTTGCAGGGTCAAGATAAACGAATCAAACATGGAATAGCAGTTATAAAAAATAATGGAAACCTAGCTGAAAACAAGATCACAACGCAATAATTATGAAGCAGAACCAACTTTTGTCTCTTTAGCTTTCTTCTTCGGAGAATGCATTCGTGCACTTTTTTCAGCCGTAGCATTGCTTCCAAAGAAATCTGCAGCACTGACACGTTCCAGTTTCTCTGCCAGCTTCTCATCTTAATTAAATCCCAGGCTTTAGATATTTTGTTTCCATTATACTAAACACAAGGCATCATGTAGCAAAATTTATTAATTGAAACGAAAGTCAACAGAATCTACAGCTCTTCGCCAACAGGGTACACGATCTTTTAGTTCACCCAGACGAGAATCTGTTTCTGCTGCCCACAAAAATGTTCACCACCTATTTCTCGTCAGAGCACGTTTTTTGACGAACGAAGTGATTCAATCCACGAGAAATCGTTCAACATGAAATGGTGATTCCCGAATGAAAAACTAATGATAACGTAAATTCGCCAGCTATCTTCAAAAAAAACGAAATCTTATCCATGTTTTGGGAAAACTAAATTTTAAACTAAGTAAAAACTACGACGTCACATTAAGAAGTATTTGCATGTATATATGTATATATACATATACATATGTACACGCATGCATTTACATATATATGTTTTCGGTCATTATACATTCAGTCTCCTGCAACGATGCGTAATGAAGTCGAATGCATAGTGCGTCCCTCAGGGGTCGATCAACACCGAGAGCCTCGTCCCTTATTCTTCTATACACGTACATGTATATACGTGTATATATGTATATATGCAATGCACACATATATAAACACGTGTACAGACATTCACAACGACGCAACATCTCTTCGGTAATTTTGTGAATTTCGCAATTACCAAGGTTTTTAACGAGTTATACAGAAACTTTTTGTAACTATCGAAGAGCCAAACACTCTGCAACTGTGTTATGGAAGCAATAGAAAGTGCAAAGAATTCACTCAACGAAAAATCCTACCCCTCGCTAAAACAGTTCTTCGTGAGTTCCCGTCAAACTTGCCTTCGTATGATGTCAATGTTTTCTGACCAGCTGGCAAGATTCCTTTTTTCCTCGGCTTCTTTTTCTCGATGAATTCATTTCCACTATCTGTCTCAGTCGTCATCTGAACAAATAGTATATTAAATTTAATAATCAGAAATTTCAGCTATACAGCGCGATAAGCAGTGTTCCTAGTTAGGCGATTCAAAAAACGACTCTCATCTACCTTTACCTAGAAAACCACTTGGGAAACTTTATAGTACACGATATCCTTGAGATGTGATGTAATCAATACAAGAAATCAAACAGCTTCACCGTTTCGTCACTGTTACACTCCATCACCGGGTTCTGCGCTTTTGCTTTGATTGCCCGCTTAGTTGGAGGAGAAGCTTCTTCGTCGCTGTCGTATATGACAACACGAGATCGCTTATTCTTCGGTTCAGGCTTGAGAGGAGATGGAATGAACGACTTTTCACGGTGCCCTGATAGTTTCTGTGGTGAAAAGTCTTCATCGGAGTCTAAAATCCATAAGCGTCCATTATCCATAAAAATCCGCAACCATTAAACTCACTAGAGAACAACACCATGATGAAATCACAATGCTTTCTTTTATTTACTGCCTACCACAATTTTCACGTATTATGCGAAATCAACCACAACGATGCTGCTGTATTCGCAAAACTCCGGACAGCAAGTGCGTGCAGTGGGGATAGAACCCGCTACTATCCTTTCGGGGTGCTAACTCGTTCACCACCACACCATGCGCGTCTTTCGTTTCCTTTCTCTCAGCTGGTTTTCCATCTATCAGTGTCATCAGCAATCAACCGTCAACGGGATTGATCTGGGGAGCCAAAATCGGCATTGAACGCAGTTAAGCTGAGGGAGTTTCATTCGTTGATTTCGCATGATTCCATGACGAATTAGAAAGGCTATCTAACTGACCAGAAATCACAGCGTTCCGCCTTCGTTTTTGTTTCATAGCTACTTTCCGCAATGAAGGAGGTATGGGTGATTCGCCTTCTGCTAGAAATACAGCGTGGTTATAAGCGGTCATTTGTTTCCATAAACGAAACCGATTTAAAAACAGATAGAAGGGGATACGGCAAGATGAATGATATTTCAAAAACATGGTTCACGTATCAATTCATAACAGGTTAATCAACGACTCATTACTACGTAGATGACGAAGCAGCATGCAGTGACAAAAGGGATAATGGAAACCTACAATCCTCATCATCGCTCAAATCCACAACGGTAGGCACGGTTTTCTTCAAAGACTGATCCTTCTTTGTGTTCGCGTCGAGCTTCTGCGATCTTCTCTTTAGTTCAGATTGAGACGTTCCCAAAGCGGGTTTTTGTGCAACTGGTGAGGAATTCGATTTGAACGACTCTGCCTGGCTAGCAGCTTTCCTTCCACCGAAGAAACTTCGTATATCCTTAAAGTGTTTGCATGAAAAAGCTTCTTGGTATCAATCAGTCTTATAAGCAAAACGAGAACTTCTGTAGATTCAAGCAAAAGATGTTTACAACGAACCAAACCCAAGACCATGTTTAGCTCTGTTTACTCAGCATTATTTATTTGACGGACGCGTGTGGCGCAGTCGTTCGAGGCGCCACTGCGACACACACGTGGAATCGATCCCCGCGCCCATAGCCCACCAAGCCTTCCATCTCTCCGGGGTCGGCAAATTGGTACCAGACTTGTCTGGGAAGATAGGATGGCCTGATACATCAGTAGGCCGCAGCGAGTCATTGTAAAGGCCAGATAATCATCCAATCTTCTACAACGATAATGAAATCAAATGCATGGCGGATCCCTCAGAATTGATCAATGCCGAAAGTTTTATCCTTTTTTATTTATTTCATACCAGGGTATTATGTGAAATACAACTACAATGACGCCGAGATATTCTCAAAACCCGGACCCAAGGCCAGCTTCAAACCTACGAATACCTTTGTGAGGCCTCACATGTTACCCAGTGCACTACTGGGGCTTTTAGCATTCTGAGCTGAAAGGAAAACTCACTAAAAGAAGAACAGAAGTCACAAGACTCACCATCAAGCAACGACGATTGGCATAGAGCCTCTGCTTAGACGACAACAAACGAATCTTCGAATTGCCGCCGGTCGCACGGAGTTCGACAGCAAAACTCGTCCGACACATTGTTATAGGTCTACTTGTCGTCTGTGCTGCTAACGTACCTAATATAGATAGTGTCGTTTACGCTCATCGAGTTTTGTGCTTTAACTACCGAAAAAAGAGTAGAAGACGTAATAGTAAGCCTTAGTGATTACAGACGCATAGATGCGCTACGCACTTTTGGAACTTTCGGACTTGATGAACTATGCGCCACTGGATTCCGTTCTCATCCAAGGATCGATCGTTTCCTGGAGAACGTGAATTCCCTTCCTCATTGCTCTGCATTCATTTGACGACACCAGATGGCATTTGTAATTCTAATGATCCTTTAAGATGGTGTCACAGAGGGATTTTCCCCTCGTGTTCTTTTTTCCACGACTTTTACTGTTTTGTATTGTTCGGTCCTCTCTTATGGGTTATAAATAAGTCATGTATCGGCTTAATGGAATTGCGCCTTGAACCAGTCAATTTTTCCATTCCGACGTGATCCGTCATTTGGTAGAGCCAAACTCGTCCTTTCCAGATATGAACGCTAGGAATCCTCAGTTATACTGAGTCTGATTCCTTCAGTGAGTCTGTAACCATGGATTCACATGCGTAGAGTTCACAATTCATACTTAGTACGAAGTTTTAATTTTGATATTTTATTCTGTATTAGGGATAAATCTGAAGCGCCAGGCCAATTTCATGTGGAGATATGTAGCGCTTTCTGGGTTTGCTTTGTAAGCTCAGTGGAAGAGTGGGATGAGATGTTTCTACAGCGACAGGCTATCGGTAAATGATCAGCTGTGTTCTCTTTATGTTCGGTGCTGTGTAGTCTTCGCTATAAAGTCGTACCTATTTGGCTACAAGTAAAACAATGACTGAAAAACAGGTGTTCGGTCGACCGCAGGTGTTGAACATCAGCGTTTATTCTCACGACCTGCTTTCTATTAACCTCGGCATTGATCGAACAATTCTTTGTAATCTTGTTGAGCAAACACGGGATGCTATTTTATTTCTTTATTTACTAGCAATCTGACGTTTCGGCGGATTTCGCCTCCATAAGTCTGGAAAGCTCAAGTTGATCGCAATCTACCCAACCAAACACATCCGTAACCAAATCCCATAAACCTGCACCTCCTGTTTGGTCATGGAGATGTTTGGCTGAGTAGATTGCGGTCAACTTGATCTTTCCTGACTCTGAGGAAGGCGAAATCCGTGGAAACTTCAGCTTGCTATTAAATAAAGGAGCAAAAGAACATCTCGTGTGTGCTCAACAAGAATATGAAGAATCAGCGTTTATGTTTATATTACGATTGGTATTTGTAAACATTTTGCTGTAGTTGACATTAGGGATTTTCCCAAGCTTTACAGCCGAGAAGCGTTTCTTTTGCATTGATTTTCTTCCTCGGTTGTGCACAACTGTTCGAGGTGCATACCAGTTATCCCTTCTTAAGTTATTCTCTACTAATAACTCACGTTACTGCACTTGTCATGCATTGCTTTGCATCCCACTATACAGCTCATATTTCAGTTCCACATCGAGTGCTCATAGTTGTTCTGAACAACATGGGGACACTTTCGCTGGATATGCTATTTTTCCGGCGTCTGGGAACACTTCTGAGACTGCTGTTTCCTTGCAGACTTCATTCATGGACGCTTTGGTTAGCGCTAGTGGTTATGACCACATCATTTGTAGGTTTGTATTTAGCATGTTTACATTTCTGTTTCCCCCAAGTTATCTATCGCCGTCGTAAAATCACCTTTTCATGATGGGTGTTCCTTTTGCTGTAATAGTCGGCGTGGCTCTAGAGGTCTTTCCAAAGCTTGGAAAGGAAGCAGCTCTTTTGTTTTTCCACGTTTTCATATTCATCTCTTTCAGATCAAGTAGCAACGTACTTCGTTGGCGTTCTTCCCAGCCAATTCTATGTGGTACTAGGAAATAGGGATCTCTCGGCTTTTCATTTTCTTTGTGCTAAAGCTACAGTTGTAGTTATTGGCAAGTCTCTGGTACTTTTTCTACACAAACTTGTCTTTCATTCAAATTTCTCATTTTTCCAACTGTACTTTGCAGTCACTGGCATCAATCAAATATTTCACATCTTTATTAGCCATAAAGTGCCGTGAAATTTGTACATACACACTGCATAGACTGTATTTCAAACGTCGAGCTTTTTATAAGCTCAACTCGTCCTCTGAAAACTTGGACAACATGTGAGTTCCATTCCTATTTATTTTCAGTTTGGACCTCCTACTTGGAGGTTAGGATACGTGAATGGTCCGCCTTCACTGGTTGTGCGGGGCACAGCTTAATTTCCGTTTCTTCGGAGTTTTGCTGGTTTAGCCATTGTGTCTCTCTGGAGTTCCGAGACCAGACTAGCCAAAATCTGCTCCAGGTGGTCACCACCTCAGTCATTCGCCGCCCTTGTGGATCAGAGGGAGATTTACCACCATGCGATTAGTTTGATACCAGGACGGTGGTGGATCCTGGTATTGGTTTACTCTTTGTTGGCCTTTCTGATAGGAAAACAGGACTGATGAATTCCCCTGCTGTACATCGTAGCCCGACACCCAGGAACACCTTCTAGCCACGACTGGACGGTAAACCGTCGGCAGGGTTTTAAACTTCTACTTCCATCAAATTCACTCTTGAGTTTTTGTCCGCACAACTTTTCTTTCCAGAGATCAGCGGTTAACTCAGGATATTGAGAAAACTACGCAAGTGCTAGCTTGTGATCTTTTCGCCCCAGTGATCACAGCACCATTTATAATACTGTACTACTCATATCTTACCTGGAAAAGGTAGGCATCCCTTTCTTGCATTTAACCATCGATTCGCACGTAAGTAATTTCAGCTCGGGATGGTTGGGACCTCTCACTATTTACACATATTTTGTTTTCGTTACTTTCGTTAACCGATATCTCTTATCACCCATTGTTGGTTTAGTTAATGAGACGGAAAAGAGGGAAGGAGATTTCCGGTCAGTGATTGAGTCTTATCTTTTTTGTTTCCTATGTATGTTCGTTCCATTTTTAGCCAGCGTCATATGGAAGTTAGAACCAACGTGGAGTCAATTGCCTTTTATCAATCAGGGCTCATTGAGAACATCTTGACAAATCAAAAGCTGAAAGTTTTGTTGAAAACTAAGGTAGTTCTTACTGTACACAGAGGCGCTTTGGTTGTCAACATATTGATAGTATACGTTTTTGTTTTCTAAGCATTCGAATAAAAGAAACAATCGAATCGCTACAGAGAAAACTCGTCGACTGGCGGTTTGCACTTAACATTGTGACGAACGTGTTCGACTATTTTGGTGGAATACTTTCCTATCTGATCATTGGGATCCCTATATTCATGACCCATGCGTATGATTCGCTTTCAGGCACGGAATTGAACGGCGTCGTTGCTATGGTAAGGTTTTTTCAGAATTTTCTGTGGTCTGTTTTACTGCAGCTTCACAAATTGAGGACTAAAACGACTTTATTTGTCCGAGTTCTCTAGTTGTATTTGGTGAAATCTTGTAGTATTTGTGCTATAATGACATATTTTAAGTATTAATGACTGTCAAATGTATGGGCCTTTTACCACTGTGTATACGAAAGCCACTTTTTTAAAAATGATAGTATATGAGGATGAGGAGGAGGAGGAGGAGGAAGAGAAGGAGGAGGAAGGGGGGGTGGCGCACAGTGGTCAGAAGCGCTCTGCAACACACACGTTGAATCCGTTGAATCGACCGCGCCCATGGCCCACAAAGCTTACCATCCCTCCGGGGTCGTCAAATTGGTACCAGCCTTGTCCGGGAGGACAGCGACACTGACTCGGTACGTTGGTTGGCCACCGCGAGTTATCGTGAAGACCAGAAATGCATCCAGTCACCTCCAACGATGCTTGATGAAGTCCAATGCATGGCGTATCTCTCAGGGATTGATCAGCGCCGAGAGCTTTATCCTTTTTTTTAATAGTGCGCACCTGATTTTAGACTATTTGTGTGGTAAGCATGTTAGGTCTATGAATATTGGTGTGTATCGAAGCTAGAAATTCCACCTCCCACTTTTGTCATACGGAATACTTCTAATGTCTTCGTTTCGATTTATGCGTCTGACAACACTTACCACTGTATTTCGAGATACCGATTTTTACTTAACCTCGGCATAAATCATCGTTTTCTTAGATTATTAAACCAATGCTCCCAACGGTTTAGCGCCTCATCGTGGCTGGGAGGTGTTCTTGGGTGTCGGTCTGCGATGTACGGCGGAGGAATTCATCATCCTAGCAGGATCTCCCAAGCTGAGGAAGAGTCCGGCGTTTTCATCAGGAGGCCCAGCTAAGAATAAACCAACACCAGGATCCGCTGTCGTCCTGATGCTGAACTAGTCGCATGACGGTAAATCTTTCGCTGATCCACAAGGGCGGCAACTGCCTGTGGTAGTGACGGCCTGGGGCAGACTTTGCCCTGGCTAACCTTAGGACACCAGGGAACCACGATGGCTTCGCCAGCAAAACTAAAAAAAAATGAAGATTATAGTGGGATTCACACAAGTAAGGCTGGCCATCAAACTATCAAGGTAAAATAAGTATTAAACCAACACTAGGTTAGTAAAAATTTTTATTGGATTTTGGATCTAGATTTTTCACTCCACCATCTCAAATTTCGGTTTACCTCTTTATATCTATATTTATTACAAGCAGCAACTTCCTCAGTATAAACTTAATGCTTGCGATCCACTTAGAGTTGTAACTATTACATTTCTTCAGATTGTTGAGTTGGCATTCTTCACCTGCAGTTTTAGAATCTACAACTTCTAAAATTAACCCTTTCTATTGTAGCTGTTGTCTCCAAACGACGATTATTGGAGCAGATTCGGCGTTATGTTATCTAGATGATAACCTACAACGGCTAGCAGAACGTCCATTTCACTTTGATCGTTGACCGATATCCTCAAAAATCAGATTATCTGAGTGTCTTGGAATATTTGCACTCCTTCCATTTGAACCTCAAATAACCTAAGGCACTCATATATCTTCGCGTTCTCTGCGTTATCGTAGTAGACTCTTCACGCATTGACCATTCACTCTTAAGTGATCAAATGGAAGAACAGACCAGACGCCTTGTTGATAACCTGCCTGTTCGTTCTTCCTAACGCATTTCCAATAAGATGGATTGACTTCCTTGACCCCGTTTTCAGCCAACGAAAGGCTCGTATGCTGGTTACCGGTGTAAACGTGCCTTCCTTCATCCAGTAAACCGTCTTTGGTGCACATGTTCACTGATTTAGCTACGTGCAGGTGTCCGGCTTCTGTCAATAATTTGAACATCTTGTTACTCTATCTCTGTGTGTTTATATGAGACGTTAGAAAAATGCCAGTTTCGTTCTGAAAACCAAATGGTTATCAATGCAGGCTTTTCGTTTTTTCTTTGTGTATACTGTTATGCAGTTTCTGTTGACAACTTCGACAATAGACTTCGATACTATTCACTAAGTGGAGGTAATTCCAACACTTTCTCAAGTCTCTCTTCTGGAAAAATCCAGGAGCGAAGTGGATGGCTGGTATAGGCAGCACCGCAACTGTACTAATTTCGCCGCCGTAGCAGCATAACGTCGACGGCCTTGATTTCTTCAACGATTATGTTTTCCTCCTTCATTTACGTTCACTGTGAATATATTTACGGTGTAAAGTGTGTGAAACTGAACACGCTATGAAACTGGTGGCAGGAAGTAACAGCACTGTGGTAGGATGGTGAACAATTTCTTTCTTCGTATATAATGCTGAGATATTTGCAAAACTCCGGACCACAGGTGTATGCCGTGGGGAACGAACGCGCACTATTGCCCTTACCGGGGAGTAGCGCACTTCACCACCACACCATACGGGTCTTTCGCTTTGCCTGTCTCTCAGCTAGTTCTATCGATCTTTTGCCATCAGCCATCTCCCCGGTAAGGACAATAGCGCGCGTTCGTTCCCCACCGCATACACGTGCGGTCCGGAGTTTTGCAAATATCTCAGCATTATATACGAGTTATATTTCGCAACATACCCTGCCATTAAAAAGAAAAAGGCAGTAAATAAAAGGGTTAAGATTGTGATTATAACTAAGCCTCAGCTTAATTGGGTTCAATGCCGATTTGAGCTCCCCAGATCAATCCCGTTGACGGATGATTGCTGATGGCAAAAGATCGATAGAACTAGCTGAGAGGCAGGCAAGTCGAAGGACCCGTATGGTGTTGTGAAGTGCGCTACTCCCCAGTAAGGACAAATTTCTTTTTTGTTCACATAGAGCAATTCTGAAGAACCATGAGAGGAGCACTGGGATCGATGAGTATTTTCATCTCTTCAACAGCTGTCGGTTTCTTATACTTGGTCAAGATAACAGAGTTTCCACTCATTCACTTTCAGTGGTCACTCTTTCGAAAATTAAGCTTAATTCGTCTGCTATCGACGTGTATGAATCCTACTTAATTCATCGTCATTTGGGACAGGCAAGTTGAACACAGCGGAGGCAACAATTGAAAATATGAAGAATCCAGTACATATAGTGTGGTGCAACAATTTCCGGCCAGCAATTGATTGGTTTTTTCATTTTCCATAGCTTCATTGATTTAAATTCATCTTGTGGTACCGGCATATATAAGGAGCATAGAAAAAAATGCCGAAACGTGCTTCACGTATCTCATAAAACCTTACCAAAGGCTGTTTGAAATGTGCGTGGACGGTGGAAAGGTTTTTTTTTGTTGTCATATGAAGGACCTGGATGTAGTCCAAAAGCATGGAGGGTTGTAGAAGAAAATAGATGTGTATGGTATAAAAAAAGCAAATTACAAACGAAGTATACAGAAAAGCTTAGTTATGCAGAAGAAAGTATAACATAAACGGCGGGAATATTTGCTAGGAAGCACGCTAGCCGGCGTGAATCATCTACGGTTCACAACAAACGCTGTGGGAAAGTTAACGCACTCATTGCCACACACAAAATTATGAGCCATCGCTGATGTGTTAATTAATATTTCCGTTTTCAGAATGCGTTCTTCTATCTCTATTTGATCTACAGTTTCACAAATCTCATCGCGCTTTCGGAGAAAATTGGAGATCTTGCTGGTGTTACACATAGGTAACCATGTTTTCATCTTTACGTCTATCATTTTGAATCTAATCACTGAATGACTCGAGTGGACACTTATAAAATCTTCCATCCACGTCGCGTTCTAGAGTTCTCATTGGGGTTTCACGTGACTTTCTACAGGTATCCAAAGATAACCATATTGGTTACCTTTTTCCAGAGGACTGGCTTGCATGCTTTCTCACAATTTGGTCACCTTTAGTCTCGCCACGTAGCTTGGCGAGTATCCGCAAATGAAACTTTCACATGAGTTATATCCCTGGTCTTATTCTAGTGGTGAATAACAAACTATATGTAAGGTGTTCACGTCTATATGATGAGTAGAATATGCTGCGCAGGAGAATCGCTGTAGTTTTGAACAATGTTATAAAGAGTTCTAATTTCGGGTGGTATTGTGTTACTTGGAAATCAGCTTCTGATTTGTAATTTCTTGTTTTTTGTATATCTTTTACTAATAAAGTAGCTGAGTGAAAAGTAGAGCAAGGGCCTCCGTTGGTGTGGTGGACGGCACGAGGATCCACTAAGAATAATCGCGAGTTCGAAGCACAGCTCATGTTCTTAATTTTGCTCGCATCTTAGCATCCTTGTTGTTCTATTTGACATCATATCTTGCCACGAAACAAGAATAGGAAGTAAGCAAAAGCTAAAACATTGTTTTGGTAGCAGTTTTCTTCTGGGTAGTGTACTAATGTATCTCACTGCAGGGTTTACTTTATGGATTTTTACATTGCATAGTTGAATTATAATATAAAGTGGGTTTTTATAGCTTTAAAAGGTTGAAATTTGGTATGTGAAGTAGCAGTTTCGCAAAATCCACTTCTATGAAGTGAAACTCAGACGTTCACAGCGTAAACGGCTCAAAACTTTAATATGGAGTGGAGCCAAGGAAATCATAGTGTAATAACGTTGGCTGGGAAAATTTAGTGATGGTGATTCGGCATCGAAGATGATTAAGGTCGTTAACGTTCTTGTGCTATTGACGGTGATAAATTAAAGGCTTTACTGTATGCAACTACGTGGACAACTGTTAGAGAACTTTCACAAGGACTCAAAGTCAACTTTCCAACTGTCTCGGAGCATTTAAAGATAATTGTAAAGCATAAGAAGCTGGACAGACGGAATTGAGTTAAATAACAAACAGCGAAATCGCTATTTTGAGGTATCTTTGGTGCTCTTGCATAACCAATAGAACCTCCTTTCTGGAGCATATGTGACGTGCGACGATAATTGGATCCTATGTGGCAAACGGCACCGAGCTGCTCAGTGGTTTGATCGCGATAAGGCTTCGCAGCTCTTCCCAAACCCGACAGAAGTTCATGTTTACCGTTTAGTAGCGTACATTTGGTTTTCTTTCTTGATTCCGGGTGAAACGATTATGGCAGAGAAGTACGCTCGGAAAACGGAACAAAATGCACCAGAAACTTCAGCTCTTCGGCAGTTTTTCTCCGTCATAACCCATGACCACAAGTTCCCTCACGTACACTGCAAACGTTGAACGGGCTGGGTTACGAAACTCTGCCTTCTTCGCCATACTCTCGAGACCTCTCATCTACCAACTACCACTTCCTCAAGGATTTCATCCTTTCGTGCGAGAAATGCTTCCGAAAACAAATCGAGGCTGGAAATGTTTTGAATTGCTTCATGGCCGCCAGAAATCCAAAATTTTGTGCCACGTATAGATGAACTTGTTTCTGGCTGACAAAAAAGGTGTGCATTCTAATAGTTTATATTTTGATTGAGAAACTTTTTCTGTGTACTATTTTGAAGTCATTAATTTCTTGATTAAGCAAAATCGGACTTTTGGGCCACGTATTATGTTCCCACATTATCAAATAACAACTTAGTTCCTAAATGCTTATATTGAGGAGAAGCCTGTTGTGATACATTTTTATCAGTATCTTCGTGTATAGTTGGTGGTTTTTTTGCTTTGAAGCCAGTGTGCATGTATATATAT